AAAACTTAGAAAATATAAGTGCATATATAAGCACCAAAATTTCATCTATAAATAAACTCACATTCCTGGTAAAATGAAATCCAATACTAATCATAAACTCACACATTCAAAATAAAGGCATGGATCAACCCTTGGTATAATCAAGGATTTTAAATGAAATACTAAGGTCATCTTGAAACTTTCAACAGCATCTTTAAGACGATGTTTGATGCCTCTTACAGAAGTTATTTGAAAATAGTTTTCCACGATAGTGATGTTAGTATTCTTCATTATGTGATTTAATAGTAGTTGTCAATTTTTATTATTTTAATATTTTTTGACGCAAATATTATTTTTGTATTGCGATTTTACAGGGTGGCTACAAAGATGAGTGACAAGTTCGAGGATGGTAGAAAGTAAAATTAGTAAATCACAATCTATTACTGCAAAGTGTTGGAGTGTCCTACCGATTTTCCAATGTTTTATTTTGACTTCTGTAATTTTGCTATGCAGCAAGATGTTGACAATATAAGCAAATGGCTATGTTTTAAATTTTATTTTCAAATACATAGACATACGTGTGGTTGTGTTTTATTTTAGTTCTCTACGTGTTATGTTATTAACGTATATCTCATCGTTTATATAAATATTAATATATATTTCTTACCCGTGCATCGCACGGGATTCGTACTAGTTTATTTTAACACAACAAATTTACAATACAACTAATAAACTACTAGTTATTGAGGAAATTACACCCTCCACCTTCAAATATGATTTATATTACATTTATATAACCATTATATTCTAATTTATAAAATTCCATATCAAGCAAAAAATATTACAATTTTGCCTAAGATGTGGACTAATATATGTAACCGTCTGTTAAGGAATTTTTGGTAAATTAAATGCAATTGAGATCATTAATTGAGATTAAATATATACTTACCAAAACAATCGGACCAATATATATCCTCTCTCTCTCTCTCTCCAAAATCACCCCACCGCCCCATGTTCAACTCTCTCTTTCTGCAGGAAATCTCTCCTTCAATGGCGAAGACAAAAATCACCAGATCTACTCGAAAAAAATCAATTTGTCGATCCTCTACAACAAGGCCACTATTGAAAAATCCTGTCAGGTAATTTCGGCTTCCTTTCGGCTCTTGAGTGGCGGGGTCATCGGACGACCAACTTCAGCCAAGGGCGGTGGGAGCTCGCGCGATTTGTCGGGCACTAGCGGCGGAGGGTCGAAGACTGACGGAGGTTGCACAAGGCGGTGTGACGAGACGAAGGGTGTCCTCGCTTTCGACCGGCAGTGGTTCGCTTGACTAGGAAACGAGCAACTACGGCCGTGGGCTCGTCTCGGGAAGGCGGAGTCACAATAGCTGACGACAACCCTACTTGTGAGCAACGACGACATTGGAAGAGTTTTCGATAGGATTGTTCCACTGTTTATTTTATGTTTTATGTATAGCTTATGTTTAGTATATTAGCAATTTTCTTTGTTGACGAATGTTTGTTTCGGTTTGATTGATTTTATTCAGTATATTACTAGTTTTTTGGGAGCAATGAGAATTGCTTATTTGTATCATTTTGTTTGTGTTCAGTTGATTTTCTGAGTCTATACTTTATAGTTTTTTTTTCTTGTTTTTATTGTTCAATGAAAATTGTATGGTTTATTTTCAGTATATTTTTAGTCATGTTTCACTGTTTTCCATGTTTTTTTTTTCTCATGACATTAATAGGAAGACGTTCGATAGTATGTAATAGTTAAAAAATTTCGGTATATTATCAGTATCTTTTCGGTATATTTTCTCATGACATTAACAGGAAGACGTTCGACAGTATATTATCAGTATATTTTCGGTATATTCTACCGTTAACGATTTAAAGTCAGGGTTTACATTCACTATATTTTCGGTATATTCTCAAAGGAGCAATGTTTTAAAAAAGAACCAATATATATATATCATTAAAAAACGATATATATACCATTAAAAAAACTGATACATATACCCATTAAAATTAAAAAAATCCATTTAATGAATGATCAAAGATAGAACAAAAAATATAAAATAAAAAAATGAACATGGAAACATAATTCCGATAAAAAAATATACCTCTCTATCTATTACATTTTTTCTTTTTTGTTCTTCTATTACATGAAAACCTGATTTCCCACTCCAAACACAATTATGGGATGCACTTGTCGATCAGAACTGCTCATATTATTTTGGAGATATAATCATTCCATACATGAACCAGATTTTCTGTATTATGGTATATGTACAGTATATTTGCAGTATATGTATAGTATATGTTAAAGCAATATATATAGGCGATGAAGATTTCCTGAAATTTCGTACTCTTTGCCCGATTTTTGCTCCTCGCGCAGCGATGCTCGACCGGATCGATTTCTTGTTGTTCCAATCGATTTGAAAGGGCCTATCCGATCTGTCCAGATTGAATTACTTCTCATCTTGGGATTTCACCGCCGTCCATGTAATTTCGCGGAGTCTACTATGACGGCGACAGGCCTATCCGATCTGCCCGGATTGAATTACTTCTCCTATTGAAATTTCACCGTCGTCCCTGAAATTCGCCGCAGTCTAATGAGACGACGATAGGATGGTTGCCCACAATCTCGCCTTCAATATCTATAAGAATTTTTTTTTTTTTTTTTTTTTTTTTTTTTTTTTT